CGGGCACCTAACAACAACGACAGTAGAACAAAGTTTAGACCTTTGGTTCATAGTGTTGCTATGATTATTACTCAACTTCACAGCACCCAACAACATTTTAGGTTATCTAGTGCTATCACAGAGATACCACAGATGGATCGCTTTACCAAATTGATTCTCTTGCAGATTAGGAGGCAGTTGTTGTTACTGATTGCACTCCTGTCAGACCCAACTTTCCAAATCTGACTTTCCAGTGGGTTTTCAGAGGCTGTAAATTTGTGGGAGAAAATTTCCCATCTTACTTCCACATAGCAGCCCGTGCCCTTGGGTTCACATCACAATTCCCTATCTTCTAGGTCACCAGAGCTCCCCCAAAACAGGACTTCCAAGAGGCTAGAAGTCCACATACAGGGTGCCAAGATCAGGTTGGAGAATGAAAAGTCCTTGTTGTTTACGGCATATAAAGGTTCATTTTTCCTTGGAGATCTCCATGTGTCTTGGACTTCCTGATTTCAGAGAGCTTTCTTGAGTAGAGACCTGAGTGTCTTCAGCAGTTTTTCTTTGGTGATACTAAGGTCTCCTTGGCTTGCTTTCTTCCCTTTTGATCTCTTGTGAACTAAAATGTGTTCTAGAACACACCCTAGGCAGGAGCCCTGGTGGCGTGATAAAGTGCTTAGCTCAGCTGCTAACTTTAAGGTCAGCAATTTGAACCCAGGAGCTGCTCTGTGCAAGAAAGACGTGGTAGTCTGCTTCCAACAATGGTACAGCCTTGAAAAGCCTATGGAGGTTTGACTCTGTCCTGCAGAATCTCTGAGTTCCAATAGACATGATCTCATGTGGTGGGTTTTTGTTTTGTTTTGTTTTCACATAAGGAGGAAGAAAATAGCAAAGTGATCGTTACTAAAACAGGATTTTGGTGAAGGTAATGAAAATGCTCTGTAAATACATAGCGGTCACAGTCACGCAACTCTGTGAGTCTTCCAAAAACCCCTGAAGTGTGTGTTTTTCAGTAGTTGGATTTTAAGGTATGTGAATTACATAAAATTAAAGCTGTTATTATAAACTCCAATCTCGGCTATTGGCTTTGAGCCTTTGGGCCATCTTTTGTAGAAAGGGCTAATCACAGATCCCAACTCTGTAACAGAGTATGAAGATTGACTAAGAAATTGCCCTGGAACTCTAGGCAGAGCTGCTGGTAGAGTAATAGTAATAGTGGCAGTGTTGATGCTGTCCTTAAAGGCATGCCCTTTCCCTTGTCCATCCTGAGTCACGGGGGCATTGGTGCTTTTAGTAAAATAGATTGAGGACTCCTAAAGATCTTGGATGAATGAAAATTGACCCTCTCCTTGACACCTTTGAACCATATACACTTATGATGGATTTTCAGCCTTAGGAGTATGATATCTGTTATTTATTTCTTAACTAATATAACTGAGACCTTGCTCAAGATGTGCTCATGAAAAATTACCCTTTTAATGGTGGAGCATTTAATGAGAAACTGGATTATCTACTGCATAAGTGCCCTTCATACAAATTAGCTTGGCCCTGGGTCCTAATCTAAATTGGGCTCCCTACTTTCCTCTAAATGGTCTAATATTTTCATATTAATCTCTGCCCCTATTCACCTGATCTGGCTCTGCCTTCTATTTTGAATCTCTCTCCCCAGCAGAGTTCTGTGCCTTGACAAATGTTTCTTAAGATTCTCTTTGTGTCTGACTCCTGGCTATATTTTGGACATGATGTCATGGTTGAAAGCTATGGTTCTGTTTTCAAGCTGTCTCTATCCTCCGAGTGAGTTTTAATGCTGCCAATGTGTTTGATATCAACAGACTTGACTCTGCTGAGTTTGACCCAAGGTCACGATGAGGTTGTATTTATAGGGAAGTCTTGTGGATGAGAGGCAATAAATCATAGTGGTTAAGAGAGCAGATTTCCCGAGAAAAGGACACAAGTAAACCACAAGGATTTGCCTTGACATCACACATCTCAAAGGTTACAACCTACTCATACCCTGGCTATGTGGATTTATGCACATTGCTTGTCCTCTCAGATGTTAAAACATGAATAATAATACCTAACTGTGTGATTGTTTCTAGTACTACATGTTCTTGTTATGTACAATCAAGTTGGGACAAACTCATAGGTAGGGGATTTCAGAGGCTGTAAATCACATGGGAGGAGATTGCCTATCAACTGGTGGATTTACACCATTTGACTTGAGTTGACACTCAACTCCCTACCAGTAAGTCACTACAGTTTTCTAGGACTAAATAAATTAGTGTATATAAAATGCATTGCATGAGAGAAAAAGATGATGATTGCTATTTGTTAGGAGGGGCTATTCATTGGGGAAGGACATGATGCTGGAAAAGGGTGGAGGGTTGGCAAAGGAGAGGAAGACCCTCAACTAGGTGGATTGACAAGTGACTGCTGCAGTGGGCTTGTGCATGTCAGGAAATGTGAGGATGGCACAGGATAAAACAGGGTTCAGTTCTTATGTTCATAGGGTTGCTACAAGTCATGTTTGACTCGACAGCATCTAACTACAATGACAACAAGCATTATTATAGTTAATGATTTGGGAAAGTCTTGAATACTAAAAAGTATAGTGAATGGAGCAGTGTCAACTGTTGTAATTGCAGAGATGGATAACTATGATAGAATAAGATAATCTTTACAAGAAATCATAGACCAAGCCAGATGCTGCTTCTGCCAAACATTACAGCACATCGAGAGACGACCCGCTGTACCACAGGCCATATTTTTCAGCGACATGTCGACACAGGATGGCAAGTCATCTTCTTTATGTTCTCAGCTGCAATTTCTGACATCTGCCCTCACATAGCCTTGAGGTTTCATTTTTGCATTGATTACAGTTTTTAACTAATCATCCATGTGTTATTTTGTCAAATAGAATATTATTCAAAGGCTGTAATGTACTGGGAGTCAGCCGGGCTAGAATAGAAAAAAACACGCCAACTGGGAGTTGAGACCATAGGTCCTGCCTCAGCAAACATCCCTCTTTTATGGCCCTATTGTCCTGTTTTCTGTGTTTCTTTCATTAGGCTGCTAACATTGGGATTGCATCAACTCCCATTTATAGATAAGCTCCCATGTGCCAGAGATTAAAATACATTCTTTGCACTTATTATCTTTTTTAGGTTAACTATTCATAGCAACTCTATAAAGTACAAATTTTATCCTCATTTAACAGATAAGGAACAGTCTCGTTTGCATGCTAGTGAGGAACCATGATTTGAAATGAGATTTTGTCTTTAAAGCCTGTACTTTCTTCTAGTCCAAGCCTGACGCCTAGCACCATTTTATTTGCCATCACTTTATGCTTTCTCTGTGTCCCACTAGAACTTAAGTTCTGATGAGTACAAATGTTATCTTATTTGTCTCTTGCCAGTGAGTAACAGCATCTGGTGCAGAAAAGATGCTCCGTAAATGCTGAGAGAATAAATGGCATGAAACAGAGGCCTGGTCTACAATAGTAGCTGTTGTTAGTGTTTCTATCTTAAATTTCTCCTCAGTAACGCTGAATCTTCCTTTATGTAAGGCTTTTACTGAGTTTGCACATAGTGCTATTGTTGTTAGGTGCCATCCAGTCCACTGTGACTTGAGCAACCCTGCCAACAGCAGGTTTCAACCTTGCCTTCTCCTGCTTCACTCTCATAATCTCCATCATGTCCATGCCTCTTGTTAGGCACTGTGTCAATCCGTATTGTCTAAGGTCTCCCTTTCTTCCTCTGACTCTCCACCTTCCCCAACATGAAGTCTTTTTCCAAGGACTGATCCCTCCTGGTAACAGGCACAAAGTATATGAAATGGAATTTCACCATCTTTGCCTCTAAACAGCACTCTGCTTGTACTTCCTCTGGGACAAACTTGTTTGTTCTTTTGCCCCATGTAATACAGATAGGAAGAAATAGGTTGAATTGTGTCTTCCTATCCTTCATTTATGATTTCTGACTGATGAGGGAAGGCATAGGGGAAACCTACTCAGAGCTGAACGTTAATGAAGTTCTGAGAGATACACATCCAAGGCATAGGGTATTCGAGGATTCCAGGACCATGTGACCTGCCACTTAAGAAAGTATGAGGACGTTTCTCTGGGTTTCAAATCCTGTGTAGTTCTCCGTTGATGCCAATGTGGACTCGGACAAGCTTTCTGGATTCTGTGACCTTCATCTTCACCATCTGGAAAATGGATATAGTTGGGCTGTTGCGAAGTTGAGGGACAGAGTTGCTAAAACATGACACGCCAAGAACATTGCTCAGTCCACAGTAACTGCTGCCTTGATTTTATGTGGCTATGTTTGAACTCCTGATTGATTTCTCTTAGCAAAATATTATGTTAATAATTACGCAGTGAGCCCTTTCAAAGGAATGGAGACACCATACCAAGTAGTGTAGAAGCCTTTTTTCTGTACACACATGAGTTAGCAGAAGAGATATCGTAAAACCATTTTTTTGATAATTGTCCCCGGGTCATTACTTGATACAAAGCAATTACTCTGGAGTCAGACTATAAAACAGCCCATGGAATAGGATATAAGGAGGGTCTTGGACCCTGGCCAAAGTCGTATTTAATGCTGCAAATGCATAAAAGACTCATTGCTAATACTAGTCTAACAAGGATTTCAGACATGAACTCTTAGTAGGTGATTATTATTTGTTGAATATTGAATGTCATACAGTTTACTAGGTGCTTTCCATATGTTAACCAGTTTCTTTATCTTAATGCTCCATCGGGGTTAGTTATTTTTAATGTATTTTTCCCCCTTCCTAAGAAAACTGTGGCTCAGAGAAGTGAAATAATTGACCTCAGAATTTAAAGATCTGGAGCCAGAATTTGCATGCCTGGAATATTTCCATTCTCTCTGTCAGGGTCCAGTGATTTGATTTTCCTTATGGTGCAGGTGGAAACCAAAGAGTGACTCTTGGAACTCTGGCCACACACTGCCTCCAGAGCCCACATGCTATCATATCTGAATCGTACTTTCTTCTGCTTCTAGGTCAGGATCGCAGTGAAGCCACTTTGATAAAGAGGTTTAAAGGCGAAGGCGTCCGGTACAAGGCCAAACTGATTGGAATTGATGAGGTTTCTGCAGCTCGGGGAGACAAGTTATGTCAAGATTCCATGATGAAACTCAAGGTGCTGTATACCAGTATTTTCTTTCAGATATCATAGGTTTAACATGGATGGAAAAATTGTACATAGGGTCGCTGTGAGTCGTGGGCGATTTGCTAGCCCATAACAATAACAACAGGTGCCGTTGTGGCAGATCACTTATTTATTGGCAAATTACCTGACTCACTGATGAATTCTCTCATTTAGTTGTTGGTAAAGTATTGCAATCCTTCAACAAGTGCTATTGAGTACCTACTGTGTGGAGGTAATTTACCAGGCTCTGCTTTATAATTATTGAGGGCAACACATTTTATTTTACTTTATCTTCGTTTTGCAAACCCTAGAAAATAGAAATGCAAATTTATAAAGTAGCTTAGCCCATATTTTCTCTGTTTTTGTCACTTGTTGGTTTTGAATAAAATGTCATATATTTTGTCATATATAAGGTATTGTGAAAGTATAAAAGATTAGTTAATTATTAAAATTTTTATTAAAGCATCCAAATACTTTAAAATAAATTGAAATGTTTCCAAGTAAAATATAACTATATACTTACAAATGCTCGCTGTGATTGTAGTTAGGTGCCATCAAGTTGAGTCCAAGCCATAGTGATCCTATGAATAACTGATCTGAACCCTATCACAAATCCGGATTAAAATGTTTTAAAGAGGCCTTCTCCTTGGGCTATCTAATGGAAATGTTTTTAAATGTATAAAATAATATGTTTTAAGTTCTTTTATTACAATTTGAGTGAAAGTTTACAAAGTATATTGCTTTATCAATCATTCATGCAGGTTTGTTTTACCCCAGTTGTATTTGATCATTCATGTGTTCTGTATTGCTTGTCCTTTCACACATAAAAGTATTTAAGTGATATTTAAGAATATGCAAGAATGAACATTCTCCTTTCCTAGATTCTCTTGTCTTCATATTTTGTATTTTCTCTTTTGAAAAGTGATACATAATACTGCAATAATTAAAAAATTCACTAGCATAGAGTCAGAATGACTCATAACTGACCCTCCAGTGGGTTTTCAGAGACTATAACTAAGTCACTTGTGAGGAGATTGCCTATTATTTGGCCTCAGAGCAACTGATAGGCTTGAACTACCTGCCTTTGAATGAATTGACAGTGTAAGTCCTTACTCACTAGACCACCAAGTAAGTCTAAGAGTATCTATTTAAAACATACAATTTTTTTTCTGGTTATAGAATTAACGTATGTTCATTTCATAAAAGTTAGAAATTATGGTTGAAATAATCAAAAATTTAACATGTTGATATTAGGTATCATTGAATAAGTTCTGTATACAGCAGAACAAAACGTATCTAGACCCTAACTGTACCCGCAGTCTTTGCTTGAGCTTAGCCATTGTGGAAGCCACCATGCCAGTCTATCTCACTGAGAGTCGTAAGAAAATCACTGTGAATATTGTATACAATTTACTACCACCGTTTTTTACGTGGATTTTATATGAATTATACAGACACATGGTATGAAATAGAAATTGATATTTATATAATTTTGCATCCATTTTGCATTCAAAAATATATTAAGAAAATGTTTAAACATCTTTAGATAATCTCTGAGAATTGATCTTGATTGATATAATTTTAGAAAAAATATTAGGTAAAAAATAAAGGAAGAAAACAAAACATAGCACTTCTGGCTCAATGCCGAAAGTGTGAACTGAAGCAGTGTCAGTGAAATATTTTCCATATCACTATTTCTTGTACAGATGCTTTATAAATCACAGCGGTTATTTTTGTTTATGTAATACGAGTGTTTTCATCAGTTTAGCACATATATCAGATGCCAAGTGTTCCTGTAATCTGGCTCTAGAAATCATGATTTTTTAAAATCTCATTTTATCATTAATTTTACAGACTTTGCTTCTCTTTTTTAAGCTATTATATAAACTAACTTTAAGACCATGATTTCACAGATTATTATTTTTTGAGACAGAGTATGCCTTCTTTAATAATTCATTACATTCTTAGATTTCCTGATCTGTTCAAAAGTCATCTTCTTAATCTACCAAGTTCAAATTCCACTAAAAATTAGATAAAGATGAGGGGCGGAAGGTTTAAAATCCTGCCTCTATAGTTGGTATAATAGAGAGCTCCGGTGGTTTTGTGGTAAAGAATTGCACTGTGATCCCAAAGGTTGTTTGTTGTTGTTGTTGCTGTTGTTGTTGTTGTTGTTATGTGCCGTTGAGTCGTTTGCAACTCATAGCGACCCTATGTACAACAGCCCTAAACCCTGCTCTATCCTGTGCCACTCTCATTGCCTCTGACACACCCATCCCGATTACCCCAGTCACTGAATCAGTCCACCTCATAGAGGGTCTTCCCCTCCTGCGCTGTCCCTCTACTCTAACCCAGCATGATGTCCCTCTCTAAAGACCTGTCTCTCCTTACAACATGTCCAAAATATGTCAGGCAAAGCCCCAGAATCCTTGCCTCCAAGGAGCAGCCTGGTTTAACCCTTTCTATGATGAATCTGTTTGTTTTCTTGGCAGTCCATGGTACATTCAATATTCTTCTCCAGCACCACAGCTCAAAGGCGTCAGTTCTCCTTCTATCCTCCCTAGTCATTGTCCAACTCTCTGATGCATAACAAGTGATTGCAAAAACCATGGCCTGTATCAGGCACACCTTAGTCTCCAGAGAGACACCGTTGCTCTTGAGTACTTTAGAGAGGTCCCTAACCACAGACTTTCCCATCGTAATACGTTTTTTTATTTCCTGGCTACTGGTCAAAGGTACATGGTTCTAATCCACTATGCTCCCCTGGAGAAAAATAAGTCTCTTCCCATATAACTTACTGCTTCTGAAAACCCCCTGGAGGGTCAGCTATGATTTGGTTCCAACTCAGGGGTACACAACAACAAACAAGAACAGAAGCTGGCTATTGCTGGAGTCCCTAGGTGATACACCCATTGCTAATGGAGAGGTTGGTGGCTGAAGTCCATAAGCATATATCTTTAAAGACAAGACTGGTGATCTACTTCTGAAAACTGTCATGAAAACCGGGGGAGCACAGTTCTTCTGATACATGGGGTTGACATGAGTAAGAATCAGCTGAAGGATGGATGACTGGAAGAAGTACTATGAGACCGTGAATTAGATATACAATGAAAAAGACTGGCTATTCTTGGTCCTTGGAGAGTTGGATGACTGCAGTCAGCCTTGTGTCCTCAGCCCCTGCACTGAGAGACGAAGCTAAGGGTACTTGTCCCTCACACAAACTCCCTAGTCTTTTAGAGTCATGCTTATGTACCCAGGAAACCTTGGTGAAAGAACAGGAGAAGGACCAAGAGCTTGATGCTTGTGCAAGTCCTTCTGTCTTGATTATGGCACTAGAAAATGCACATTTGCAGCTTTTAATTATTCATTAAAAGACAACACAAAAGTTTGATTACTTAATCCTTTATCGCTAGAAAACTAACCCTTACCCATAGGAATAAAAGGAAACTGATGCATCCTTCCCAGTATTCTTTGAGGTAAACATTGTGAGGTAGACATTCACAAAGGATACATTTTTTAAAATCTTCTGATCTACTGTCTGCTGTGTGGACGCACCAAGTTCTAAATGTGTAAGAGCTTCCTGAAGGGTCTGTTTTAGTATTAACATTGGGCCAAAGTGGCTGGACCAGGGCTGGTGATGATACCTGCCGTACGCGTGAGTGTGTGTATGTGTGTGTCTTGCCTGCAGAGTGCAGTGTGTGCATCTTGCCTCCATTTCTCTACTCTTGTGACTGTGAGATCCTGAGAGCCCAGAGAATTTTTCACGTCCTGACGTACTGCTGTTAGACATTCTGAACTTGTTGAGGGCTTCTCAGTTCCAGACAATTGTTTGTTTGCAAGTTGCCAAGAAAATGTTGACATTTCATCTCCCAGTGGTTTTTTTCTTGAGGAAGCAACAGAAATACAAATGATCGATACTCCATTTGGCTACCTGCCCAGGAAAAGAAGAGACTGTGAAGAACAAAATGCCTCTTAGTCTTGCAAAGGGACCCAGTTGGCCATGTTAAGCTGTAGGAAAAATAAAAATTTCTGTTTCTCTTTGCAAGGCTGTGACACTGGTGCACTGGCCTGTTTAAACAAGTTTCCTATGGGATTGTAAAGCTTTGAGATGGAATGCATATTGCATGAGGGATTCCCTCTCTTCCTCATCTACCACCACCATCATCATTAATATCTTAATTTTCGTTCAACAATCATTTTATAACTTTTGATCTTGTGAGATAGTCTCCCTGCTTTATAAACACAATACAAGTCCAGAGAATTTAAAAGATCTTCCCTAGGATTTTCATTTATTCTGTGATACACTCAAAATTTGACACTAGATCTTTAGAGGAGCGACCTAGTGTCTGGTTTCATAAACTCATTGCCATGAATCTGAAATTTCCCATAATGGACCCTCCAGTATTTTTACATTTTTTTTTGAGAATGTATATTGCATGGGAGATAAATGTCCATATTTCTCCATTGGAGTTGCTCATGGAATCAAACTACCAGAGGGATTCGGCACTTGAGTTAGCAGTGCACCTCCCTATGGATCCATCTCTGGCCACAAAGCAGAATATACATCCCTTTTGCCTTCAGGTCACCTCTGACTGGTTGGTCACCTCATGTGGGCAGAGCAGAACTACATTCCAAAGTGGTTCCAAGATCATGACCCTTCAGAAGCAGCCTTTTCTCTGAGGCGCCACTGGTGTGTTCGAACCACCAGCCGTTCAGTTTGTGATCAGGTGTTTTTCTATTTATATCGCTCAGACATCCACAAAATCAGATGGAAGAGATTTCTTTGCCTGAGAATTATCTTTTTCCTGAGATCATGCGAAGTGGTCACTAGCAAGACTGAGACTGCAGAACAGTTGGTATATTACATGGCATTTTCTGGAAAAGCCTTCTAGGTTTTCAGCCATGCATGCCTAAAGCCTTTTATGTGCCTTATATGCTCTGTGGTGAATGCAGTCGTAGCATTATAGGCACATGTTCATGCCTTGTGACTGTTCTCCAACTCCTTATCACAGCTCCGCGGGGCCCCTGCTATTTATCATTCCTGGCACATCTGACTCTTCTGTGTATAAATGTCCACTGTCTGCCTGTGACTCTTGAGGGATGCCCCTGTCAGTAACTTCTCTAAGACCCGTGATATTCTGTGTGCCTAGTAATGATAGTATTATTAGTGTAGAAACTGACACTAACTGGGCTGGCGACTACACACTGCCGAGCGCTGAATGTGCATAGATTCTTCCCATGGCCCAGCACTCTCCTATGAGTCATGCGGGGTGATGATTCCTATTCCCTACAGAGTTTGAAGCTTGTGGTTCTACTTGGCTACTTTCAGAGCCTTGTTGCCATGTGTCATCTGACACACCTCGCTCGGTATAATTTTTTTTCCCTTTGTTTTGGTTTTCACCCCTGTTTCTCACATAGACTGTTAGAGTAGGAGGATCCTCAGTTTTTGACCTTGAGGTTGTTAACAGTATCATCTTACCTGTGTCCACAATCAACAATTTTGATACCAGCAGTCAAGACATCAAATGATGAATTGCATTGGGAAAGTCTCCTGTTAGAAACTTCTCCAGAATACTGAGGAGCAACAATATCAGTCCAGAGACTAAGGTGTGCCTGATCCGGGCCAAGGTCTTTGCAGTTACTTACTCTGCATCAGAGAGCCAGAAAATGACTAAGGAAGAAAAAGAATCTAAGCCTTTGAGTTGTGGTGCTGGAGAAGAGTACTGAACATACCATGGATCACAAAGAGAACAAACAAGTCTGTTTTAGAAAGGGTGAAACCAAGTTTCTCCTTGGAGGCAAGGATTTTGAAGCTCTGTCCCACATACTTTGGGAATGTTGCCAGAACATCCCAGTCCTTGGCAAAGAGCATCATGCTTGGAAGAGTGGAGGAGCAGCACAGGAGAGGAAGACCCTGGATGAGATGGATTGACCCAGTAACTGGGGCAATGGGGGTAGGTGTGTTAGAGTCAGGGAGATGGGCTGAGGACAGACAGGCTTCAGGGCTATACTGTACATAGGATTGCTGTGAGTTGCAGGCAGCTCAGTGGCAGGCACATAGCAACAACCATCACCACAATCTGAATTGCCTACTTGTAAGAAACTTCACTGCAATATCAAAGGCATGCTGTTCGAATCAGCCAGTTGCTCCATGGGAGAAAGATGGACAGTCTCCTCCCATGCAATTAACAGCTTCTGAAAACCTGCTGGAGAATCAGCTGTGTGTCAGTTCTGACTCGATGGTACTCAGCAACAGCCTAAAGGGGCTGTCCCACCCAGTCTTACAAGGTCTCTGTGAATTGAGATCAACCCTGGCATTGGGAAAGTATCTCAAAGACATAAAGATGATAGGGGGAAAAGGTTAAAAAAATTCAAAATACCTTTGGGCAAAAATGGTAAGTCACAGGCATACACTACACTTTTACTCAAATAGATGTACTTGCCCTTATTCCCTAGGTATTTTGACAAAAGTTCTGTGCTACATTATTTTTACAGCAGTATATATTAAAAATTAGCAAAGTAAACTTACAAAACTAAGGGAGAAGTCTTGACAAACAGATGTAGAACATAGAGGTCATTTTTTGCAAAGTTACCATATTGATCATATTTTGTCCAAGCAACATCGAGAACTACAATGTGGCAATAGGGTTTGTTTTTTTCTTTTTTAGTTGTCTTTCTAGTTGCCAAAATTGATTAATAGGAAAATTTATTTCTTAGTAAATACACTTAGGAATGTATTTAGTGACTCATCTTTATTTGAAAGTTTAAAAGTATGTCCTGGAATGTTCAACTCAGATTGAGAACTTTAGTATGTTTCTTCTGGGGCACCTAATTCTGAGTGGAATGTCTGATGGGAAGCAGGCATTCTATAAATCTTGGTTGGTTAGAATGAATGACTGTATTCATGCTCATATGTCTATTCATACGGTGTTGGTTATAAGCAGGATCAGCATTATCCTGAAGGGTTGGGACTTGAGCACAGTGTGTAAAGGAACATGGACAGGGCGAGGGAGGGAAGTGCACATAAGATTGGTGCCATCACTTGATGGTATCCGACATGCCTTTGGGACCAGCGGGAATTTTCAAATGAAAACACTAAAGTAAAAACCATGTTCTTTCTTTCAACAGGGCGTTGTTGCTGGCGCTCGCTCCAAAGGAGAACACAAACAGAAAATCTTTTTAACCATTTCCTTTGGAGGAATCAAAATCTTTGATGAGAAGACAGGGGTGAGTAAAAGAATCACATGGCATTGTGAAATTGAATCCATTGACAGATGTGCCCCTTAGAGCCTCTGCTCTCTGGGCAGGAATATCAAACAAGCATAAAAACACATAAAGCAACTGACAGACTTGATCAACTGTGATCGTCCATCAAAGGGAGTTTCTTCCTTGACTTGGCCACGGTGTGGCCGCACCGCGTGTCTTCCAGTGTAATTGCGATAAAAGTGTCACACCATTCTGGTAATCTAATGGGAGATTGATGAGTTTTGAAGTGCTGTGGGTAACATGACAGTTTAAGTTAAATTTCTCTGTGTATTGGCAACTTTAATGACATGCTTCCTAGAGGGAGACATATGTAGGTCTTGGACTCATTTAAAGGAGCCAGACACCCTTGAGTGTAACCTCTGACACCCTGCAATTGCAGTAATTGAAAAGAATAAATAGAGTTCTAAATCTTAAAAAAATAAAAAATAAAAAGTATCTATCATCATGACCAGGAAATGTGAGGTCTGGTGTGTGTGTTGAACCCACTGAAGAAGTGGTTTGTATTTTTATCAACCTCACAGCCAGCAGTGAACTTGAAGGCTCATCCCTGAAGTCACCTGGCATGTCGCTTCTGTTTGTGAGAGAGGAAACAGAAGAATGTACTGTGATCCATTTGGCCAAGGAAGCAAGAGCCAAATGGTTATCTTTTGCCTCTTATTTATCCAGTGCTTTATAGTTTATAAAACATTTCCTTTGAACGTCATAAAGGTAATTTCTCTCCTTAGAACTGGCTAGTAGTGTTGCTGTTGTTAAGTGTGGTTGAGCTGACTCCAACTTCAGGCAGTCTTTTGATCAGCAGATGTGAACCTTGCTGTGTCCTGTACCATCCTCATCATCAGGAGGCCATTGTTGCAATCACCCTAGCTGTCCATCTTGTTGAGGGTCTTCCTTTCATTTTATAACCCAGCATGATATCTCTTTCCAAGGACCGATCTCTCTTGACAAACACGCCCATAAAGTATGTGAGACAAAATTTCACCATTCTTTCATCTAAGGAGCATCCTTATTACACTTTGTCATTTTAAGCAAAATAAGTATTCTTGAAGAGTAAAAGGTCAAGGTTCTAGTCTCCTAAGTAACTAGTAGTAACTCTTCCCATTCATTGGGCATGCTATGGGGTGTCAATGACATAGCATGTTGAACTGCTTGCTTTCTGAAAAGTCATGGGTTGGAACCACCAGCTGCTCTGTGTTTGGAAGATGAGCCGTCTCTTTCTCCAAAGATTTTCAGACTCTGAAATGCAGCAGAGACTCACAAATGAGTCTGCCACCTGATGGCAGTGGGTTTAGCTTAGTGTACTAGGTATATATATATGTTGACTGGACACATTTTCAGTTTATTCTTTGTGACAGCCTTGTGATATAATAACAACAACTACTTCATCAAATATATGTGTCTAGCATTGAACCCTTTCTAACAGCCTACCCTGTTGCTACCAAGTCAGTACTGAGTTATGCCAGTGCCATGTGTTAAAGAACAGAACTGCACGTAAGGTTTTCTTAGCTTTACTCATAACTTAGCAGTTCACCTAACCTTTCTTTCGTCCATAGCACCACTGGATAGATTTGAATCAGGACTTTGTACTGGTTCAGAATGGTTCCAATAAGGACAATGAAGCTTTGCCGCCATCTTTGAGTGGCCTCTTTCCTGCTTGGCTCAAAACTAAACATACAAAGATATGTTTACTGTGTCACTCTTGTTTCTGTAGCTCATTATTGAACACATTTGCATGAGTTTGAAGGCCTGGTTTGAATTACCAACTCTTTATACTTCCCAGAGACTTTAAGATACTGTTATTTTCAGGTTACCATTGAAGGCGTTGAGGACAGAAAAGATATTTAAACTTCTGAAAATAGTTGGTTGTAAGGACTGGATTAGAATTCTTGTCGTCAATCTGACTCCTCTCTTATCCTTTATGCCTGTCATCTCTCAAGATCAGTAACTCTAAGCATTTTGCAGCTCGGGGGGAAGCAGAAGTGAGAGTCCACCTTGATTTGAAATTGAAGGAAAATTCAGTGTAATTTCTCATGATATTATAGAGGAAGGTGGGTCTATGTGATACCTTGGAAAACGAGAAACGTAGAATGAGGGTACAGAGCATTCAGGAGGAAGAAGACGAGCCAGCAAGTTTAATGGCCCAGTGGATAGCTCTGGTGTCTAAATAAACATACAGTTTCTGAAATGATAGGAATCTTTTTTTCTTTTCCTAGGCAGATTATATATTATAATTTGGAAACCCAAGTTTGAATCCTGATTTAAGATGATGAGCAAATCAAAGCATATCCTGATGAGAAAAAGCAGGACCATGGAACCACTGAAATCACATAGAAATAAGACCTATCAACACAGATGTGGCCTCACGTGGTCCTGAGTAACACACAAGACATAGAACCCTTTGGCTTATGGAAACTTGGTCTAGTGGTATGGAATTGTGCTGCCAATCCAAAGGCAAGCTCCTTCGTGGGAGAAAGATGGACAGTCTCCTCTTATGCAATTAATTAACTGCCTCCAAAAACTCACTGTAGGATCAGCTAGGAGTCAGCTCTGACTTTACAGTACACGATCACAGCATCTTTTCACTGTATCAGCCCAACCTGTTGAGGGATCTTTCTCTCTTTACCTGACCCAACCTTTACCAACATTATCTTTTTCCAAGTACTGACCCCTTCTGGCAACATATCCGAAGTATGAGAGATGGAGTTTCACCATCTCTGTCTCTAGGAGGCACCAGGAAGCCCCTGGTGGCACGTTGGATTTGCACAGTAACAATAGCAATGAGCTGGTGCGTGGCAGAGGCTAGTGCAAGATAGATCAGGGTTCTGCATGGTCTATTTTTCATAGGGTCACTATGAATCTTAATCAACTCAGTGGCATGGCATCTACCAACAGTAAAAGCATACCTAACTGTAGGAGCATCTGTATTTCCGTGGTGAGATTCTGGCCTTCCATGGCAAGCAGGAGCTTTGGTTCCTCGCCCATGTATATTATGTGCAGCCACGACCCATTTGTCAGCCGAGACTTGCATGCGGTCATGATGCTCATCAATTTTCAGAAAAGCTTCCAGACTAAGATGGACTAGGAAGGATGGTCTGGAGATTTGCCTCCAAATACCAGCCCAGGAAGACCCTGGGAGTCACAATGGTCTGACCCACACCCAGTTGTGGAAATGGCACAGAGCCAGGCAGCTTTTTGTTCCATGGTGCATGGAGTCACCCTGAATAAAGAGTCAACCTCAGGGCAGCTGAGAATAACAGCATTCTTTATGGGTGTCCTGTTATGTGGACAGAGCTGAACTCTGGGAAATGATTTCACAATTTTTTTATATAAACCCCAATATTACGGAATTGTCTCCAGTCTTTTCTGAGTTCCACTCCTGTCCATCACCATGACAGCTAGCATAACCAAGAAGAAAGGTATAGTTACAAGCTAATTTACCCAGGGGCCAAGTTTTATTTTCACTTGTGTCTGCATGTTTTATCTAAATCTTCACTCCAAAGTGACTAAACTGGTCATCAAAGGAGAATACCACCAATCCTGGCCAAGCATTGGTTGATTTTTTGTCACTGATCACAAAGAGAACCACAGTGAAATCATTACTTCACTGAAAAGCAATTTGACTATGGAGAGAAATGTCAGATCCCTAGTGGGGAATCAAGTAGGAGCCAGAGTTAAATGTTTTCTGTCTGCCTTAGTCCACTTTGTTCTGTTTGATTAACATGAGGCCTCTTTCCATTTGGCTTGTGCTACCCTAACTTCTTAATATGCCTCAAAGCAAGTCTCAAAAAAAAAAATGGCCGAAAGTAATGAACATGTTGAAGCCAGAAATGGAGACACATGGGGCAGGGCACCTTTCATTAATATATTCAGAGCTCCAGAGTCCTGTCTCGTAGAAGAAGGAGCTCATTTGCTTGACGTGTCAGGGCTAGATGATAGATGTGTTAATGAGGCAGTTTTGGTTCATCAGTAAGAATTTCCTATCAATAGGAAGTGCTGAGCAATTCAGGCGGACAGCTTTCTCCCTCTGTGAGTTAAGTTCCCCCTCAGAAGGCATATTCAGCAGCCACATGCCGGGGGTACTGTTGAAGGAATTCAGGAAGGTCATGAGGTGTTTAGGAAAGTCACATCAAAAATGATTTATGAAGCTCCAGTTAGAAGATCCCCTCTCTCAGAAGTAAGGCAATTGATGTGTTTTGTCTGAAAAACCTCCATTGAAGACTTTGCATAGGGAACAGTTTACCCTGCTTTCGTCATTACTTAATAGGAGCTTAACGGAATCTTGTGGGATGGGAGTCCAAGTCTGATGTATGAGGTACATCAGAGAAATGGAAAACTGGCTCTTTTGTCATTTAGAATGACACATCTTAGTTGTTTCTCTTGTCTAAGATATTTCAGGAAGCCTTGGTGCAGTGGTTAAAGTACTTGGCTGTTAATGGAAAGGGTCAACATTTCAAACCTACCCAGCTGTGCTTTATGGGAGAAAGATGTAGTCGCTTGTTTCTATAAATACTTCAGCCTTGGGCTGTTCAGTCTCTATGAGATCGAGTAAACTGGAAAAGCAGTGGATTTAAGGTATTCACGCCTGACTGCCTCTACCTTACCCACCCCCCACCTCAATTCAGGGAATGAAACATTTGCAGAAATGTGACAGTAGCTAGAATATCAAAATCCAAAAGCTGTCAAATATTGTTTGATCTCAATTAAAAAGATTCTTTGCAGCAATTTACACCCTGTCTTGAGTTTCAAAGAGTTCTTGATCCCAGTCCTTATAGGAGTACATTTTGTTTTATTATTAGCATGCTGTAAGGAATAAAATGAAAAGCTGTTCATATTTTTAGATACCTAGATATTGGTGAGGATCAGTGGAAATGCAAAGCATTTCATTTATGAGTACCTGTTATTTATAGACTCTAGCAAATCAGAAGTCAATATTTATCAATGTAACCGTCCTAAAATCAGATCCA